TTGTTTTGTACCGAGCACTTACCCTGCCACCCCAGCACCGGGTTTTTGATGTGTCAAGGAAGATTTATACTTATATATAAATATTTACTATGGCCTCCAGCAGATACACAACAGGATTGGGCAAAACAGTCCTAATGCTCTACCCCTTACTCAAATATTTAGTCTCACTGGGGAAGCTGTGTGTTTTGTGGTCAGATCCCTGGGCTGGAGACCAGGAGTATATTCTCCATTTTGCTGCTGCCCTAGCCTTGAGCACTCATTGATTTGTGCCTCAGTTTCCCCATCTATTAAATGGGGATCATAACACTGACTGAGACTAATGATATCCTCAGCCACTGTTCTCACAAGCAAAAAGTCTGGCCAACAGCAACTGCACTCCAGGCTTTGCGTAGACACCAGTATGGTCCAGATCAGGAATCTGTATCAGACAGTGCTGAGCATGCGATGATTTAGCATCATTGCTTTGTATCGGAGTCAATGGCCTGACCCTGCAAAACGTGCCCACTGAAAGAGATCCCGGTGAGGTTAGCAGAACTGCTCACTACAGCAAATACTATGTGCAGTACTAAGTATTGATGATGCATCTAAATGAGGTGTCCATTAGGAATATTCAGACTCTAGAGGGCCCTGTGGCCCCTTAACGAAACACCTGGTAAGGCTGCTGGGTGCAAGAGCAGCATTGGAACAGCACTCCGGCAGGTAGAGCCGTGGGGCTCCACACCCAAGTAGCCTCAAGGTGAAACTTGATACGGTTGCAAATGGTCTTACATGCCAAAGCAGGGAATAGACCTAGGCTAGAGACAGAAGTTACACATAATCCGGTTTAAGTGATCAGAAATTGGTTTAAGCCTGTAACAGAATAGAAGTTGAGTGCACATAAACCAGTTTGAAAATGGCTGAAACTGGTTTAAGATAAACCTGGTTGAATGTAATATCAGGCTTAAGAGAAACTTTATGAAACTTCTGTGCCAGACCCCTTCCTGGTGCAAGTTAAATCACAGTCCCCCAGCATCCCAGCATTTTTCAGCCCTGGGCAGGGCTAGGCTGTCTGCTCCAGAGAGCAGCTGAAGCAGTGAGGACTGACTCACTGGCTGGTTCACTGCCCCCCCAGCATACCCCTGCTGGGGTCTGGGGCCAGGAAGAGGGGTTAAACTTCCCTCCCCCTGAGTACAGACATGCCCTGCTCTGCTTACTTAATGCTGGCTGTGACTGTAGACTACAAATCCCAGAGGAGGCAGGAAGAGGAAGTGATGAGCAACCCTGCAGAGGCCTGCCGCTGTGATTCTGGACTGCAAATCTCAGAGACCTTGGAGGCTGCAGGAAGAGGGAGTGACCACACAGCCCATGCTGGCTGTGCCAGAGAGCCATGCTCTAGCATCCCCTGGCTTCTGGCACGAGCCACTGCAAGCTGGGAGCCTGCAGCCTGGTCTCCATAGCAATGCCACCCCCCTCCCCCCCAGCCTCTTGCTGTTTTCAGAATGGGAGGGGGGAAAGGGAGGAGGGGAAGCTCTTTCTTGGGGTTCCCCAGCTAGCATTAGAGGGTGGGGTGGGTGCATTAGAGCCCCCCGCCACCCTCCAGCGCAGGCTGTAAAAAACCCCAGAACAAACTCCCTCCACTCCCTTTCCCCACTCCCATTCTGAAAACAGTGACAGGCTGGGAGCACTGCAGACGCACGTTACAGAACACACTCATTTGGAGCATGTTTATCTCAACCCTCATATTTTTGTGGGCTTGAACCCTTTTAAATAAGTCTGTAGCCTTGCACTTGTTTGGTTATACCTGCAGACTGCTTTCTGTGGCCAGATCAGGCAAAATGTGTTACTTCTGCCTGCACCCTCCAGTTGGATTCTTTTCCCAAGCCAGTGTGACACGATGAACATAGGACCACAAGGCAGGACACAGTAGTTTGGCCCAAAGCCATTTTAGGAAAATTTGCTTCCATCAAGTCCGAATCTTCCTTAAACAGGATTTTATTGGCCTACACTAAAAACAAGGTGTTCATAAAAGCAGCACAACCTGATGTTAAAAACACACACCATTTTCTCATATGGACAAGTTCAAAACCTGGTCTCTGGCTGGAGATAGAGCTAAGCTGAGATTCCTGGATCCCGGCAGCTGATGGAAATTACTTTGATCGACCTTTGCAAGATCTTCAAAAACCAATCAGAATTGGTTTGCAGTTGAGGTCCATTGCATGGACTTCAATAGGAGGAGAATTAGGTCAAAATTCCCACTGTAGATTCCCTTTTGTCTTGGTTTAATATGTTAATCTTTGAATCAATAAAGAACAAGTGCCTGGACTGTGCTTCTTCAATAACCAACCCCCTCATCTGAGGCTAGCAGGCCAGTCCTGCATTTCCAGGTGCCCCTGTAACAATGCGACACTGCCTCCCCGTTTATCAGCGAGCGGAGAATCTCATGAAACACAAACACACGGCAATGTCACTAACTAGACAAATGACTGCTGTGCTACCCATTGTTCAGCATTAATCATAGATACCAAGTCACTGAGCATATGCAGCATTTTAATGTGGTGATTTTTTACCCGTCAGAAATCTGCTTGACATAATGACGTGGCAACATGACTGACTGGCCGCTCTCATCTCTCTTCTTCTTGCTCACTTCAGAAGACATGATGAGAAATCGAGAGAGCAGCAAGAGGCATTTAGAAGCAGATTGCTTTTGCTGACAGACTTTAGAAAAATTAGAGCCACAGAACATAGCTCTCTATACTCAAATGAGAAAAAAGAAAGCCATTGAGGCAGCTCACAGCTGTCCCAGGCTCTTGCTATCTCTGCGCCTTCCCTGTCACTCATCTTCATGCACAGACACAGAGATTATTGGGGCTGCGAGTTGCTGACACCCGTAGCCTACAATCCCTGATGGAGCACTCTGAATTTGGATGCTTTGCCACCTCCAATACCACCAAAAGTGTTTGTCTATGGTTTCCCAATAAAAGTCACACATATTACCTGTTCTTCAGGGATCTCAATGCTTTTTACAAATATTTAGGCCTTGCAACATATCCAGACGTTAGTTACTCCACTTGAGAGATGGGGAAAGTAGAGCAGAAAAAGGTGAAACAAATTGCTCGCGATGACATGCATGGAGCCATTAGCAGATTTCATAGATTTCATAGACATCAGGGCTGGAAGGGACCTCGGAAGATCATCGAGTCCAGCCCCCCGCCCAAAGGGCAGGAAGTCAGCTGGGGTCATAGGATCCCAGCAAGATAAGCATCCAGTTTCATCTTGAAGGTGTTCAATGAAGGCGCTTGAACCACCTCCGGTGGCAGGCTGTTCCAGACCCTGGGGGCTCGGACAGTAAAGAAGTTCTTCCTTATGTCCA